TATATATATATATATATTTGGATATAATTTGCTACTGTACCTTAACTTTAACTACCTTATCTAACATTTTTCAAAATGCTATGTTCATTTCTAATTTATAACATTATAGCATCTACTTTTGTTAATTTAATGTTAGTATCCGAAGATAACCAGCAAAATTAACAAGCTAAAGAGGCCTTGTGCTTTTAAAGGTTATTTCCCAAAGCACTATGTACATTAAAGGTAACTCCTAAACATGGACTGCACTGTTTAAAAGTTAAGACTGACAATGAAGCAAAGTGACTCAGAAACAGAAATAAGCAAAATAAAACCTATATACCGAAATTGACTCTCATTGTGACGATGACTTGCATTGACACTGGCATAAACAGAGTGTCATAGACTCTGTTTTTGACATTGACAAAGACTGACATTTTTTGTACTCACCTGTCCATCTCAAACTGCAGCTATAATGGGACATCTTACAGCAGCAAAATTTGTATTATGCAAGTTAACTTGATAGACTTCAATAAAGCCATTATCCTATCCAAGAGTTAAAGTGGTCTTTGCACTAAAAAGCAAAATCCGCTTGTTACATAAGCGCCCACACCCCCAAAATAAATTGCCACATTCAAGTGGAAGAAAATCTGGGGGAAAATGTTCCTAAATATACTTAGCTGTGTGAGTACTGTTTCGAAGCATCTTCTCCTGACATTTGGATGCCCAGCATTTTCTGAGATACTGCCGGAAGGATTGTAACATTACACTTTGCTGTGAGGAATGCAGGAATAAAGTAAGTATATTTAGGACCTGAATCAATGGTCTCTAGGCTTCTGTCAATAGTATTAGTTTAGCATCAGTTTGAGATGCTTCTGAGAATATACAGAATTGATCTACATTTGACCTGCAGTTGCCCCCCTACCAGGGGCGGACTGGGCCGGGGGCAGGGTGGCAATTGCCCCCCGGGCCTCTGCAAACTGCCAGAACCGCCCGCATCCACATTCCACACGCTGCACCTCCTCCCCCGCCTCACGCTTGCTGCTTCCAGCCCCGCCCTCCCACATTCACGCTGCACCTCCTCCCCGCCTCGTGCTTGCCGCTGCCAGACCCACCCACATCCACACGCCGCAACTCCTCCCGGGAGGGGGGCCAACTTGTTGCACCATGGGCCTCTGGGTTGTCCTTGCCCCCTGGGCTAAAAGTTGCCAGTCAGTCCCTGCCTCCTACTGACTTGCATTTGACCTTCTTTGAAAGAAGGTTTTGCATTTCTATTCATCCAGTCAACAGAAGCCCTTACAAATTTTTTTACTCACAGATTTTTTCACTTTAATGCTACAGTTTATTATGGGGTGGGAGCCCAATTGTAAGAAGTGGAGCTTGCTTTTTAGTGCAAGGTCCACTTTAATAAATAATTGTGAGCTAGTAGGACAGGGTGCTCTGGGATGTGATAACTTATTTAAAGCTAAACTCAGGATAAACAGATAAATAACATATGGAATACATATATAGCAGCTGTTGTACCTGTGAAGGGATTTAAATTTCAGTCCATCCAGTCTTATGATTTACACAACTTTACCCCACAGCACAGCCCTGTAAGGCAGAGCAGAAGACCTGAATTGTATCTGCTACAGTTAAGCAACACTTAAAAAGTTTGTACAGCAGTCTTAAAAGACTGACAATGCTTGTCAAGGGTTGCAATGTGCCAAGTGGACTGCCCATTTTAGTGCCTTTACCATGTTTAAGACAGATCAACATGACAGCTATCACTGTGAAGATACAGAATGCCTATTCACTAAGTTAGACCGCTGAAAAACAATAAGATGCATCAAAAATAGTAGATTAATAAACAAAGTGAGCAAAGAGAGGGAAGAGTGACAGCTCTGATGGAGGCATGGATAAATAGGATGGCCAGGAAAAGATCCAGCAAAATGTGAATTAAATCTTAGTAGAATATTCACTAAGAGAGTCAAGCCCTTCATTTTCTAGCTTTGCAAGTACTGCTGGGTGAACTACACCCTATAGCAGTGGTGGTCAAATAATAAAGGATCGGAAGATCCAAAGGCAGCATACTTTTACCCAACTTTTTTGGTCCTGCTGTATTTTACTCTCCCCATAGTTCTCCTTTAACCACTTCGAAACCAGGTGTTTAGACCCCCTTCCTGGCCAGGCCATTTTTCAGTGTTCAGCGCTGCGGTACTTTGACTGAAGTTTATTCCGTCATACAACGCTCTACTGAAATGAATTTTATACCATTTTTTTGGGGACAGATAGAGCTTTCTTTTGGTGGTATTTAATCACCGCTGGGGTTTTAATTTTTTACTATAATTAGGAAAAATGAAAGAAAATTTTGAAAAAAAAAGTTTTTTTTTTACATTATGTTAGGAAACATTTATTATTACCCAGTTTTTTGGTAAAATATAAAAGTCGGGGTCACGTCGGATAAATTGACACCAAATATGTATGGCCGCGGAGGTGGGGGGGAACGGATCGGCACCCCATACACGCGATCCGCCGGCTCTACAGCCGGCGGATCGCTTGTATGGTAACAGGCACCGCTGCCTGTTTTTAAATTTCGGCCGTTTCCTGCTCGCGCGCGCCCAGATCTAGAGAGCTCCGGGCCTGCCGTTTTTTTACTACGGCCGGCCCGGAAGAGTAGGTAAATTCTGTGTGTAATGGTGAATATGAATGTTTGTGTCTCCCTGTCATGCTGCCAGGATCAATGTCATTAAGGTTATTATTGGCTGTTCCTAAGTTTTAAGTAGCCTAATGATCACCAAATTATATTTTTATACTATTACTATTATAAAAATGAACCCATTTCAATGAAAATCTGCAACTGAGCTGTAAATTTGTTTTTCACCCTAAGGGGTTAATGTTCTAAAATTTAACCCCCTCATGACAGCGATGTTCAAAGTATGTTGATGTCACAGTGACACAGTGACAGGTGAGCACAATTAGCTTTTAGAGAAAAAAATGAAAATGCTAGCTTTTAATTTTTAGGCTGAAAAGTACAGAAAATGTTCTAAAATCCTAGGGATGTGAGTTGTTTCCAAATAAAAGATAAGAAGAAGCTGAAGCAAAGATTGTGCTTCGCCAGCTTCTTCTCCAGCCACAGCAGTCGGAGGGATGACGGCCTAAAACTGGAAGTGAGGCAATACTCATCGCTCCCGGGTTCAGTGATCGAAGGGAAGATCAGCCACAGGAAGTGTGCTGATCTTCCTTTAGATCCAACTTCTGGCACCCACCGTGCCAGTCCCTGGCTCACACATGGGGACAGTGGAGCCTGAGATAGCAGGCCTTGGTGGCAGGGGGAAGGGGGTGCACATACTTCTCAGCTGCATACAAGTGATCCAGCAGCTCTACAATCACCCAAACACTTATGTGTGAAAGCCTGGTGCTAGCTGAAAAGAACAGTACCAAGATCACAACTGCTGCGGTATAACCACTCCCAAAAACAGGCTCCCTCTAGAGCTAATTCTAGCCAGCTCTAAATTAATTGTTTAAAAACAAAATCTGGATTCCTTCCTTAATGCACAGAATATAACTGGATATAATATTTGTAAGTAATAACCCCAGAGATTGTTGATCAGAGAATATCCATTTGCCTTAGGAGATCAGGAAAAAAATATTTTTCCCCTGTTGCTGCAAATTAGACCATGTTTTATAATGTTTTTTGCCATACTCTGGATCAGCTGTGGGTATAGGGTATTGTTTATGGAGGTTTTCTATGTATTTATTTTTAACTTCATGGACTATTTAATGATAAAGACTTCCTCATCTCTCCCTCTTACACCACAGCCCAATAAAGTTGCTCACATACTCTTCAGCTAATGTATTTTATATATGGCTATTGTCTCTGAAATATGGCACTATATTTTTATTTGAGCATACCAACTACCTTATCTCTGAAATGTGAGGTTGTGACTGTATTTGTGCACTCAATTTTGACATTGTATTTACAATGTGAGACAATACAATATTTGTCTTCTGGCTGGTCATGTGATTTTCCAGAGTCTTTCACCTCCAGCATTGTTAGTTGCCAGTGCTACATGTCGAAAAGAGTTGACATAATGGTATAGGTGCCATTCTCTGCAGAATTGTACTGAGAGCTCAGAGTAATCTGATGAGGTACCCCAGAGGTTATGTCTATGACACTCTGGGCTCACAAGAAGTCAGTTAAGGATGCAGGGTGTCATCCAGCCCAAAAGAGGACTATTGCTGGAACCATGAAGCATTGAGTTTCCAAATGAGAGCACTGGCAAAAAGTGTTTTTTTTTTAGTTTAAAATACGCTGGGCTGGTTAGATAGAAAAAGTGGAATTGGGTATTAAATATACAACAATTCATAATATACAGGAAACTGAAAACTGATGTATTGGTATTGTTGAATTCTACACAGAGTAAGCACACTTTGTGCATGCATATTAAAAAAAAAAAGCACTGATTGTATATATGCATTTATTTAGCATGCTTGCAAGTCTTTGCATGTTTAAATTAAAATATAACTGTTGAGAACCTTTAATCATTGTGGCAACACCATACAAACATTTGTTCTGTTTTCTTGTTTAGGATGTTAAAGGAGAACTATGAGGTGAGTTATTTTCACTCACCTCATAGTCCTAGCCGACCTGTGACAATGAGACTGTCACAGGTCGGCTCAGTAGATCGGGAGGTGAGCGAACACATACCGGCGTTCGCTCATTTCTTGATCCTGTCACGGCTCTCTGCCGTGACAGGGGAGGGGCTGGATTCCCCCCTCCCCGCTCCTATCAGCCAGCGCTGACTGGCGGAACGGACGGGTGAGGGGGCGGGTACAGCTGGCTCTGCCTTTAGATAGGCAGAGCCCGCTGTCACTCACGTAGCTGGGCGTATCCCGGCACAATTGTCGGGATTGACTTCAGCTGCGGCATCTCAGTATATCGCGATCAGCTGCTCGCGGTATACTGCGCCGTCTCAGTATACCGCGAGCCACAGCTCGCGGTATACTCAGCCTAGGGTGACGGGAGGACGCTAGTTTGTGTCCTCCCGCCACCCCTAAAGAGAACTATGGGGAAAAGACTTAACCCCATAGTTCTCTTTTAACTGGCCCTCCATTGAACAGTTGTTGTTGTAGTAGTAGTAGAAGTAGTAGTAGTAGAAAAGTGTATTTCCTTTATAATGTGTGCATTATTATAACACAATTATGGTTTCAACTTGACAAAAGACTAGCTTCATTATTTTTAAATGTTTGTGAAGCAACATAGCATGTTGTGTACAGGTATTAATGAGACCATTTAAAATGGCTATGACCCATATTAGTACCTCCATCTGTCAGACACTGTTTGAAAAGCTCTGTCTTAACTCAACCTGTGACCCCATAAAATAATTTACTACTTAGATATTCAGCAGATAAAACAGAATCTACATATTTCTGCCCTTGGCATAAACTTCAAAGAGATTGTATGACTTTTATAAAACAAAACTACTGCCATGTCAAAGAAATGCTTAAATTGCCATAATCATTTATAAATTATACCTAATTAACTGAATTTACAGTGCATTTAGATTACATTATTACAATTATCTAAGACACTTTTAAGTAGAACATATGAATTTAAGATACTACTTATTCTTGTATGCTGCAAAGGTCATACTTAGTATTATGATAACACTTTTTTCTTGGACCCCCTTTAGTAAAGATGGTAAGACAATGTTCAGCTGAATAATGACATATCATGGGTACATCATGAGTACTTTTATGGAAGGAGATCTATATGTTGTTTACAGGATACTCTTTACAACACCAATCATATAAAGATCTTTTTGAAAATGTATCTATACGCGAGTGGAACTGGCTGTTGGAGGGCAGGCAGCAGGAGCTGTGAGTATGGCTGCAACTTTATGAAGAAAGAGTGAACTTAGCATATCAATCATCCCGACATGCTCAGAGATGCTAGCTCTCATGCATAGTTGCCAGCATTTGAAAAATAAGTGAGAATAAAAAGAGCCCACCCTCATAAGATACTTGGGGGAATGGCCAACAAAGTTGGTGATGCTTCATGGTGTATTTGTAGTTTGACACTGTTACCAGTTTTCTATTTTTAACACAAAGTAGGGCCTGGGGTACAATGGTGGTCAGTGGTAAGCAGTAAAGGTAACCCCTCACCAGCATTGGTAATGAGTGGTAGGCAGAAAAGTAAACTCCCTGTTACGATCTGGGAACCAATGGCATGGTGGATGTTATTCTTGGGACTTGCAAAGCGATCTGGGTCACTGGCCACAGGAACCGTAGGGCCACTTGAGTCTCTAGACATGGAGAGCATGGGGACAGAATGACTGTCGTAGATGTGCATATCATGGAGGCGCTGAATCTAAGGAGCACCTGGTCTTCTCTAGAGCACCTGATAGTGGGGATGTCGCATTGCAGGACAGCTCCCAGGTTGCAGCCCTCTTTCACACCCGTGCAGACTCAGCTAACAAAACTATGCAGAACAGCACTGGAATGCAGGGCTCGGTGGCATATGGGAAAGAAGATGTAACTAGAAGATGCTGAATGCATAGCTACAGAAGACACTGAAGTAGAAGTGAAGGGATCAGGGCGCAGGTACACAGAAAAATGTGTCGTTCAGTAACACAGGACAAACACGAAAAAAACAGGAACACCCAAGATGCACAAGAACACAGAAGGAGGTCTACAGTGAGCTGAGCAAGAAAACAGAGCAGACAATGCACAAAGGACACAAAAGGTAAGAGTAATGCAGGATACACACAGAGAAAATTAATCACTAAGATGCAAAGGAACACAGGCGGGAGACGTACAGCGGTGCAAAGTGGATTAGACACCGCAGCGAATGCAAGTGACTAGGGAAGAGTCAACACAAGGGAGCAGGGTGTGAACATGAAGCAGAGCAGGGATGTACATTAAGCAGTAAGGATGAACACACAGCACACAGAAAATGCCACGGAGGATCACAGGCAGAAACCACAGGGTAACAATGGCCATATTAAAGCCCATGGAATGAAATATCCAACAAGCTTATACAGATGGGGTTATCAGATGATTACAAAACTTTTGGCTAAATAGTGTATCTGTCCATAATGAAGCAAGTCATTTGAGTGGCAGGGCTGCTATGCATTAGTAATTCTGTACATAACTTCGCAACAACTTAGTGTATCACAGTGAATTACTGTATACCTTGTTTTTCTTTGCGGTATAAATTAGGCCTTCATTTGGTTGTAAATTTTAATGGCTATCTCCTACATTCGTTTTTATTTTGAAAGGTAAACTGGCACCAAAATACTAAAAAATAGATATAATTGTTTTTAAATGTAGCTGTATATTTCTTGCAATTACAATAGCCCTCCACCAAAAACAACACAAAATAAATTTTTTTCAACTGTGCATGAGGATACTTCATACAGTGAGTGCATCATTTGTTGTTTTTACCCATAGAAGAGGCCAGAAACAAGATTGCACATTTTGCTTTTTATCCTATCTAAAACACACTGGAACCAACACTGATGTTGACAGTGACCATAACAATAACATTGACACCAAAACAAACCTAAAATCAGGCTCTATTCTAACGATTTTGTCTTTATTTATTTATTGGTTTCTTTTTTAACAGACTTTTTTCACTCTTCTAGAGCACTTGCACAAAAATACACTGAAGGGAATTAATCAAAACTGGAGCAGACTAAATCTGGAGAAGCTGTGCTTGGCAACCAATCAGCCTCTCTCTCTTTCATTTTCAAATCATAACTGAACAAACTGAAGAGAGAAGCTGATTGGTTGCCATGCATGATTTTGTCTGCTCCAGTGTTGATAAATTCCCCCACTGTATCTTTTTTTTTCTAACTGATGTTCTGAGGAGAAAGAAATACAGGAGAGGCTTCTCAAACAAGTGATCACTATGATTGGCTATCACAGTGATCACGAGCACCCACTTCCAGCTTCAGACTGTTATTACGAGACCAGGAAGTGTTGGTGACAGCTCAGTTACAGTGCTGGGGGTGCACGATTGAGTGCACTCCCAGCATAAAAACAGGTACGCATATTTGTGGCAGCACAACATAAGGTCTAGTCCATGAAAATTGTACTATTAAATACCACGTACATCGTAAAGGCATTTCTCAAGCTTGTAATTTAAAGGATTGACGTTTTCCTATTTTGCCCTTGAAGTTATATTAATTGGAGGACCCTCTACCCATGTACTGGTTTTTATTTTTTATTTCACATATATGTATATGTGGCCCATGGCAGTACCCAGCTCCCCATCCTCATTTATTTTTTTTACAGAACCCTTGCCTATTAGTTTATTAGCTTTGAAAATGACCAGAATTGATTATCAAGAATCGTCCTCCACAGACTTCATTGGTGTTCAATATTAATTTTGGAATTTGTGGACTTCTGTTGTAATATACTGTATACTGACTATGGGCAGTACCATACAAGCATGGCAACCCCTACAAAAATTCTGTAATGTTTTTCTTTAGTTAGTTGTGTCACGTGACATAAGTTCTTTTGACGGTGGAAAAAAGTGTACAACCTCAAGGGAGAATGGAAGAGCATGAATATTAGCAAAGGTAAGCAAGCCAAACATAGCCAGCAACACTAACCCATTAGAAACCTAAACCTTGTGCTTCGATCTCATTAGTGACTCAACTTTGCACTCCAGTATAAAAGTAACCACAGCTTTCACTGTATTAAAATGCATGTCAGGCAAAATTAAACAAAAAAAACCATACTTAGTACATCTGTGAAATACAAGCACATGATTATAGTTTTAAAAATGCTACACGTACGGAATCAAACCTGCTGGTCTGCCAGAAATCCAGAGTGCTTTTAACTTCCTGTTACCCCTCACTGATAAAGCAGTGCCCTTGCTGCACTGAAATTTCAAACAGCATTGTCAGCACCATGGCTCTTGGGAGATATAGCTTTAGGGAGTGCCTACATGAGTAGAAACTGAGCTACCAGCAGCTGCCCCTGCAAGAATTGTATAAGCCTGGTAAAAACATTACCGCTGGAATCTAGCTGGGGACAGGAAGGTTTGTGGATAAATTTGGGCCAAGGCAATACAAATCCTTTAGTTAACACCAACTTGATAAGATTAACTTGCAGGTGAGATGATGATGATTCGTTGCTCGTTTGCATAATTACTTTTTAAATAGTACAAAAATCTGACTACCTGAATCTGTATTTTTACAGTCTCACAGGCAAAGACTGAAAGTAAACTATAAGCAAGGGATTTTCAGAATAACAACATTAAAGTTGGGTCCTGACTTCCTGTCTCCATTGTGATTTGACCATGTAGGTCTTCAGGGAATTGGAATCCCAATCTAGGTGCAGTATATTTAGCTCATCTTGCTGTGCATTTTTATTTGATATTTATTAGTCTAATGGATGCTGATACGAGAAAGCTCTGTATGCATTATCTACTGTATAATTCAACTCCATTTGCTCTTTTGTATATGCTGTATGTGAATATCTTTTACTGCTTTGTAGAGTACATTGTCTCCAATGTGCTGATAACAGCTGCCTATATTCAATTACATTCTTTCTCCTGTATGAATGGATTCTGATAAATGCTTGCATTGGTTCAATGCAGTATGACTATATATTTAGTCACAATGTCTATTTAAATTATGCTTAAAGAACTAACTGGAAGTCTATTCAGAAAGTTGAGACATAATAATATTATAATAAATTCATTTTACAGGCTTTAGTACAGTGGTTGCATTTAGCTATAACATTGCAGCGTGATTAACCCGCTATTTGCATTTTTTAAGCCCAATGCACTCAATGATGTAAAGTATAACAAGAAATACAGTACCAACAATATTTTATAAATACGGATACTTTTTTATGTCTTTAAGTCAACTTTCCCTACTAATACATTCTAAACAAATAAACATATGGCATAAAAACTAATTTGAGTTTAAAGTAGGTCTAGACCCTAACCAAACCACATTGCAAAAGCACTGTATATCAAGAGCAATTGCTTATTTTTTCCATAAAATACTGTTTTTGTGATAATTGTTTGCATGTCCGTGCTACTGATGTCTTTTGGCCTATGTTTGCCATTTCCTGCCAACATATCCCTGCTCCAAGGTTGGCTCCACATCAGTGCTCAGAACCAGCTTCTTGATAGTGACATTGGTGGACTATGGCAGTGCAATGTGTGGTGGCACAGCCACATGTAGTCTCTGTCAGGCATGACAGTTTGACAATACAGGAATACAACTGGAAGACAGTTTCCACCCCATAACATGAAGCACCTGAACAAGGATCTTCAAGGCAGGATTTCACTGTTTTTTAAATAAATGCTACAGATATAAAAAGGTTGAAAACAACTTTTGAAATGATCTTAAAATAAATTTTATATGGCATATTAGTAATTGGGTTTAGATCTTCTAGAATCAATAAGGAGGTCCAGGAAGCAGCACTGGAGTGTAAAGTGCAGCCAGCTGTAGTTAGTAAGATCCTATGCTTGCCTTACTCATTTAAAGGAAAACGATAGGTAGTTGTAAATGTAACCTATCACAGACTCTAGCTTTTGCTTAGATTTGGATTAACATATTTTGGGATCCTAATCACAGAGATAGATAGATAGATAGATAGATAGATAGATAGATAGATAGATAGATAGATAGATAGATAGATAGATAGCAAACATCACTGCATCACTGCAGACCTTTATCTGTTTCTGCTCTGTCATTACTAACAAATGTATTTTTGATACTTCCTAGTTCCTGATTGCTAAGTGGAAGCCTCAGTCTATTTTAGTCAAGTGATTAGTCCCTGTGTTATTATTATTATTATTCATGATTTATATAGCACCAACAGTTTGCACGACGCTTTACAATATAAGGAAGAAATTACAATCACAATACAATTCAAGCCAAGATGGTAAGAAGGGGCCTGCCCATGAGAGCTTACAATCTAAAAGGGAGGGGCAAGTGGCACATTGGGGTCAATTCACAAAGCTTATTTTCTTCATTTCGGCTGTTATTTAGAATTGTATTGTGTTTGTAATGTCTTCCTTAATTGTAAAGTGCTGCACACACTGTTATATGCAGTAAGTGACTCATGTCTCAAGTGTAATTGGACAGAATTTCACCTAAGGACCACCTACGGGGGCCTGTAGATTTGTATGTGTTTTTAGTTTTGGGTAATGTTTATTGCCTGTTACTTTAGTCTCACTATCTTCTTCATTTTTTTTTCCATTTCATTTTTTGTCTTTACAGATTCACAGATTTTTTTTTTTTTTTCTATTTCCTTGTTCCTGAATATGCCATCCCAAACATTTGTTACAATCATTATGCAAATGGAGGAAAAGCTAGCTAATAATAATAAAAATAATGAGGAGATAGCTGTGTGGGGATGAATTGTTTGAGAAAGTGATAGTTCAGTGGTTAGTTTGAGGCAGGATAGGCTTCCCTGTCTTTAGGGATCGCCTAATGTAATATTGCAGTAATCTAGTTATAGGATCTCAGCTGCGGAGGCAAATAGGTTACCCTGGCCAAAGGCAGTAACTGTCTCCAATGGTTTGTTTCTTGAGGAAATGGTTATTCAGTGTTCAGTTCCACAATTACACGATCCATGTAGTACGGAAGAGGTTGTGGAACTGATATACATCATACACCGTTATATATATGGTAGCAAATGAATTTCGTGCACTCTCACTGGTGTATTCCTTCATACACATAGTATGGCACTCTATACATGGAACAATTTGTTCCTGTTTGCAATCACAATGTCAACTAACATTAGGAGTCACTTAATTAAATCAGAAGTATAATAACTTGCTTGCATACTGCAGTTGTACAAAAGAATATATAACAAAGGCATTTAGTAGTTCCTCAAGTCCGCAATCTTAAGTAACACTCTAATAACACTAGACAAAGCAGATGGGGTTTATAGTTCTCAAGCAATGCAATTTACACAATTCAATGTAAAGGTAGAAGACAGAGCAGATGGTATTGGTAACACGACGGCCAGTAATATATGGTTGTACACATTAGCGGTGACGGTGGCAGCTGGGATTTGTAGTTCACTACAACAGGCAATAGCAATTTATAATTTGTAAAGTCTCTACCATAAGAATTGTTAGTATCTGTATATTGGTAGTACACGGTGGCCAACAATATATGGTTGTAACACAGTAGCTGTGGTGGTGATAGCTGGGATTTGTAGTTCACTACATCAAGTAATAGCAATTTATAATTTGTAAAGTCTCTACCATAAGAATTGTTAGTATCTGTATATTGGTAGTACACGGTGGCCAACAATATATGGTTGTAACACAGTAGCTGTGGTGGTGATAGCTGGGATCTGTAGTTTACTACAACAGGCAATAGTGTCATACAATTTGTCAAGTATCTAGCATAAGAATCAGTAGCAACTGTGTAACCCAGTTAATATGGGTTACTACATGCGGTTTTTGTGGAGAGCAGGTTCCCAGCGGAATCTGATTGCAAGCCAGCCTCAGGTGCAGTGTCCCAGGATGAGTGTGGAAAAGCTCTCGGAGCAGGTCAGATTGCAGGGGGTGAATCTGCAGGAAACAGTCCCAGGTAGGAAGGCATCTCACGGTCCAAAGAGGTGAGTAACTGCAATACCGCAGAGAGTTATTGCCCTGCATTTACAACATTAGTAGGGCTCTGAGCAATTGAAAACCCTACAGTCGGCTGGAGGGGGGAGGAGCGCCACGACATGTCCTCAATAGGCGGCTCTGGTTTCCATCACTGGAGCGGATTGAGGTAAGTTTATTACACCTAAAGGTAGCCAGAGTAGGAGATAGATGGACAGGCTGGGGTTAGGAGTTCCAGAGAATAGGAGAGACTCTGGAGAAGTCCTGGAGAAAAGCATGGGAGGAGTTGACGAGGGAGTTAGAGAGCAGAAGGCCTTTGGAAGAGTGGAGGGGATGGTTAAGGTGATACTTTGCGACAAGTTTGGGGATATATCCTTTGGGCGACTGGAAGCCAGTGCAGGGATTGGCAGAGGGGGGTTGCAGATACTGAGCAGTTGGTTAAGTGGATGAGTCTAGCAGCAGCATTTATGATAGACTGAAGGGGGATAGCCTGTGTAGAGGTAGGCCAATGTAGAGGGAGTTGCAGTACTCAAGACGAGAGATAAAAGTGAGTGGATGAGCAACTTTGTGGTTTCATTGGTGAGGAAGGGGCGTACTTTGGAGATGTTAGAAAGGTGAAGATGGCAGGATTTGGATATCGATTGGAAGTGGGGCAGAAAGGTGAGGTCCCAGTCAAGGATAACACCTAGCACCTTGTCATGGGTGGAGGAGTGGATAGTTGTGTTATCAATCCCAATGTAAAAGTTGGCAGATGGTGCACGGGATGGAGGAAATATCAGTTTTTTATAGATTTAGTTTCAAGAAGTTTTTTGACATTCAGTCTGATATGTCATTGTTTTAGAATAGTGATGAGCAAATTTGCCTATGTCTGTTTCACTTGGGAGTTTGTGAACCCACCCATAAATCCAGGTTAGGTAATTTCCAAGTGAAACAAACAGTGTCTTTGGTTGCTAGGACGCTAGCATCTAGGCTGCACTGCATCATTGGGCTAGAATGCAGACGGGGGCACCATGTCAACCAATAATGCTGTGGGGGTGCCAGCATCTTAATAACTAATGACATCAGAAACCCACACATGATTGTAGATGCTGGTGGCCCCACAGAGTCATAGGTTGTTATGTAGCACCCTCCTGCATCCTAGCAACCAATGATGCTTTGCTATTCAGCCACCAGTCAATCAATGACAAGCGAGAAAATCTTTGGCCTATTCAGTGAACTGCAAGCAGCTTGGGTTTGGGTCAAGTTCATGGTCGACCCAAACAGGAAGCTTATCTCTATTGTAGAAAAGTGAAACTGCTGGCTAAAGCAGTGAGCCAATCACATAAGCAGGACATGACCCTTCTGATGATGTTCTGTACAGAATGCCCCAGTTTCAGTTTTAATAATGATTTTTATTTGCCACAAATGTTTGTAATTGCTAACTCAACAATATCCATTGACATGTCACCACAGTAATGTATTATCAAAAACTTCCATTCTTACAGTAGTGTAAGCACAAAAATAGTGGCATACCAAATAGATTGAACTGGTTAAAATATAGCTATTGTTGCCATGGTTACTTAAAAGCAATATTTCATATTCAGTCCATTTAGAAAATCTTATAGCTGCAGACTGGAATGGAAAGGTGATTTTTCATAACATTAAATTGCAAAATGGTTTTGCTGCAATTTATGTTATATTAGCTTTTTTTTTTTTAAATGAAAGTGGAATTTGTCTTTAACCAAGATTGTGATGATTTACTACAGTAGAAGAATGTTTAGTTTGCATCAGATTGTTTACTTTGCTTAGTAAAAAGAATCTATGTTCCCTTTAAAAACCCAATCATATACAGACTGACATCGGAGAGCAATACTGCCAATGATTTATCTAGCTGAAGTAACAGAGGGTTGTAAGACTCTTGGAAAAAAAATATATTATTGTTATTGGTCAGCGAATCCAACTTGTGCATTTTATAATTTGTACCCAGTGGAAATAAATTGTGGACACATCAATTGAAAGATGAATAAAATTGGGGGTATGCTGATTATTTTAATATATACACTGTGTATCTAAAGCCAAAACTTTGGATAGAGTGGGGAAGGGTTAAAATCCCCATAAGGTTTGTATTGCTGTCTTTGCTCCTGTTTAGAAATGTTACTATCTCTATTTGTCCTGGTGACCAGGATGGTCCTGCATTCTACTTGATAGTGTTAAAGGTCCTGTCACGCACCTTAGGGGAGTCTGAGTTGACGAGGGCGGCCTCTCTCACAGCTCTGGTCCCGGAGCACCTGGATTGGTTACAGGGGCGCCGGGGCACAGAGGGGCAAGGGTGCCAGAGGCTGGTTAGCCTGTTGCGTCCACACCTGTTGCTCAGTGTGGACCAGGGATCCAAATATCCCTATTAGTTTAAACGTTAGGTCATGGTATTAAGGGGAAGGGGAGGGTAGTAGAAGAGGGGAGCAGGATGATAGGAGGAAGGTAGTGTCATGACAAGGAGAGAGGGGAGGGTGGGAGGAAAGAGATTGTAGGAAGAGTGAGAAGTGAAACCAGGTATCATTTTACTGAAAATTTACAAATAGACACCATAGGCTGCTGAAGTTGATGACAAACTTCTACTGTTTCCGTAAATGTTGTACTGAAATAATGAAATAAGTGCTTGAGTGGATGGAGATTCCCATCCTGGGTTAGGTTAACTGTGCTAGGTTCTGTACAAACCACTATGTTGCCAAAAGTATTGGGACGCCTGCCTTAACACGCACATGAACTTTAATGGCATCCCAGTCTTAGTCCGTAGGGTTCAATGTTCAGTTGGCCCGCCCTTTGCAGCTACAACAGCTTCAACTCTTCTGGGAAGTCTATCCACAAGGTTTAGGAGTGTGCCTATGGAAATGCTTGACCATTCTACCAGAAGTGCATTTGTGAGGTCAGGTACTGATGTTGGACAAGAAGGCCTAGCTCGCAGTCTCCGCTCTTATTCATCCCAAAGGTGTTCTATCGGGTTGAGGTCAGGACTCTGTGCAGGCCAGTCAAGTTCCTCCACTCCAAACTTGCTCATCCATGTCTTTATGGACCTTACTTTGTGCACTGGTTGGAACAGGAAGGGGCCATCCCCAAACTGTTGCCACAAAGTTGGGAGCATGAAATTGTCCAAAATGTCTTGGTATGCTGATGCCTTAAGAGTTCCCCTCACTGGAACTAAGGGGCCAAGCTCAACCCCTGAAAAACAACCCCACACCATAATCCCCCCTCCACCAAACTTTACTCGTGGTGCAATGCAGTCAGGCAAGTACCATTCTCCTTGCAACCGCCAAACCCAGACACGTCCATTGGATTGCCAGACAGAGAAGTGCGATTCATCACTCCAGAGAACACGTCTCCTCTTCTCTAGAGTCCAGTGGCGGCGTGCTTTACACCACTTGATCCGACGCTTTGCCTTGCACTTGGTGATGTAAGGCTTGGATGCAGCTGCTCGGCCATGGAAATCCATTCCATGAAGGTCTCTATGCACTGTTGTTGTGCCAATCTGCATGCGCTGACCACGCTCTGTCATTTTATGTGGCCTACCACTTCGTCGCTGAGTTGCTGTTGTTCCCAGTTGCTTCCACTTTGTTATAATACCACTAACAGTTGACAGTGGAATATTTCGTAGTAAGGAAATTTCACAGATGGACTTATTGCACAGGTGGCAACCTATCACAGTACCTCGCTTGAATTCACTGAGCTCCTGAGAGTGACCCATTCTTTCACAAATGCTTGTAGAAGCAGTCTGCATGCCTAGGTGCTTGATTTTATATACCTGTGGCCATGGAGGTGATTGAAACACCTAAATCCAATTATTTGGAGGGGTGTCCCAATACTTTGGGCAATATAGTGTATCTCATTTGCCAATTTGTGCCTGTTGCTTGTTTCTTTGTATTTTTTGTTATCTCAGAATCTATTATTTTTAATTGAATGTGTCGCTAGAAAACACTTGCAAATAG